CTGGGTTTCTCTGTATAGCCCTGGCTGTCCTGGAACTCACTCTGTAGACCAGGCTGGCCTCGAACTCAGAAATCCACCTGCCTCTGCCTCCCAAGTGCTGGGATTAAAGGCGTGCGCCACCACCGCCCGCCCCAAGGCAATTCTTAAAAGGACATTTAATTGTGGCTGGCTTACAGGTTCAGTGCTTCAGTCCATTATCATCAAGGTAGAAACATGGCAACCTCCAGGAAGGCATAATACAGGAGGAGCTAAGAGTTCTACATCTTCATCTGAAGGCTGCTAGCAGAATACTGACTTCCAGGTAGCTAGGGAGAGGGTCTTAAAGCCACACCCACAATGACACACCTACTTCAACAAGGCACACCTCCTACTAGTGCCATTCCTTGGCCCAAGCATATACAAACCATCACAGGGATACAGCTCTTTTAAAACAAATTTCAACACTGCTACTAATTTTAATCACCTCAAGATAAAATCAAATAACAAAATTATAATACATATTCTCTACCTAGTAAATCAAAGACCAAGAGGTTTCACTGTGGTTAAAATAAAGGATTGATGCTGAAGATAGATAAAAGAGAAAATAATTACTTAGTATGGTTATTATGTGTCGTTGTGTATGGTGTACTCGTCCTTGTCATCTCAGCACTTGAATGTGATGGCAGGAGGGGCAGGAATTCTCATCATACTTGGCTACATACTGAGGTTGAGGCCAGCCCAGGTTTCAGGGGACTCAGTCTCAAAATATAAAGCAGTGGAGATGGTTCGGTCCAGTGGTTCAGTGGTCAGGGTGCTTGCCCCCACGCCTGAGAATCTACGTGGTACGTGGACAGAACCCAGTACTACAAGTTTTCCTCTGACTTCTCGATAAAATAATATTTATTGTTTCTTAAAGGTAAAACTACATATTGGCACGGTAAGACAAACCCAAACTTTTCTAAATGAGTGCTCAAAAATTAGGATCAAAATGAGAATTACAAGGATGAAAATACTAATGAAACGCTTAAAGATTAGTCTTTATTTTGTACCTGTTATACTGAGCAAAGTATGAGTCATTTTAAATGGGTTTATTTTCAAAATGTGAAGAAGTTATTAGGCAGGTTATGAAAAGGTCAGTACCCTCTAGTGCCGGATGAAATCATCATTTGGGGCTTTTGTGAAGTGGTCAGCTACATAGGGTCAACAAAATGTAGTGTCTGCTGAAAAGAGGCAGCTTAGGTTTCTTTATACAAAACGAAAGAAAAGTAGCGAAGAAAACAAAGCTCTCAAGTAGGAAGGAATTACCATAATAGGATTCAGGCAGATGCTTTAGACACACAGCACACAGGCTACAATGTGAAGCTGCTGTGACCTGACTCCTATGTGAAGCATCATCCCCCTCCCCAGCTTTCTGGGTACTCAAGTTCTTCAAATACCAAGATTCTCCACTATTCCCAACTATACGCGATCATCCGGGAGCCAGTCCTGAGCTGCTCCGAAGGCATTGCTGGGAACGCGCATGTGCAGCCGGGTTTCGGCCGGGACGGTGGACACGCAGTACCCAGCCAATCCCACCCACCTGCTCACCTGCTTCCGGGTGAGCTGGGGCCCAGGAGGGGCTCCCGCTCGGCCTCGCTTCCCAGGTTCGCCATAATGACAGCCCTCACTAGGCGGCGCGCTGCCCACTCTCGCGACACCTGCTCCTTCGCCTCGGCCGGAGCTGTCAAAACACTCGTGCAAATGCGCGTGCGCGCCGTGAGGCCGGAAGCGGACCGGCTCCCTGGGGGAAGTGTGAAGTAGGGGACGCGCAGGAGGCGGTGGTGGTGACCAGAAAGCAGGCCGGAAGGGGTGGAGCAAGGCCACAGCCCGCTGCTGGGGGCGTGTCCCGCGGGCGCCCCGCCCCGAGTTCGTCCTCCTTGTCTGCCTGCCTGGCAGCTCTCTCCCTGTTTGGTACGTGAGGAGATTCACTTCTTGAGCTGAGGCGAAAGTCCGGTCCCTAGAACGTGGAGAGCGGTGGTACCCAGAGGCTTGGCGAGCTCCCCTTCAGGTGTGCGTCCGCGAGCGGCCTGTAAGTAACAGCCGGTGCCTCTGGCTTCTGCGTACGTGCAAGGAGGCATGAATGCAGCAGTGTCCTGGTCCGAGGGAGGGCGTTGGGGACCCCCGTGCCCCAACCCTGCTGGCCCGCTGAGCCTCACCTGAAGTGACTGAGGGATGAGACTGATGGCAGCTACCCGCTACTGCCCTGCTGGCTCCGCACCTGAGGAGACTGGGGTTGGGGCTGATGGCAGCCAGCCGCTGTTGCCCCGCTGGCTCCGCACCTGAGGGGACTGAGGGTCGGGGCTGAGGTGGCAGCCAGCTGCTGCTACCTCGCTGATTCCGGGCCCTCGACCCTCAACTTTGCAAAAACAGCCCCTCAGCAAAGCCTGCTCAGCTTCAACTCGTTGCTTTCAACGTTAGGAACGTAAACACTCAACAGACTCATATGCTGTTTACTTCCTAGTCGCTCTCCCTGTCATTGGGCTTGTCAGCTAATTGGTGCCAGAAGTCATTGTGTGTCACATAAATTAATGTTTTCTTAACTCTAAATAACATTATCATATGATTTCGTTGGACTGCTTCTGTCCTGGGAGACGTGTAAAGCAGACACGTGTCTAACTTATCAAGACCCGAGATCGAGATAAGTTATCTGGAATCTCTCGAGAGTTGGGACCGGGTCCTAATTCTTGAATTCCTATTAGCGCTTCTCCTGCCTCATGAACTCTGTTGTGTGGTATTGCCATCACTTCACCTTTGATCTTTCATTTTTGATCATCTCATGTGTAGCCAATCAGGCATAACCTACTAGAGAACTGCTAAACTTGAAATGTCTTCTGTTACTTATCTTCCGAATCTAGTCCTGATTATTAGATACTTAGTTGTATTCAGTCCTGCAGATTTATCTATAGTAACAGAAACAAGCAGATTCGTGTAATTGGTTCCAAGACTAGAGATGGGTAGAAAATAAAGTACTTTTTTAACCACGATATTCTTCCAGTGTCGTGGTTGTCTTTTCTAATCCCTGGACAATGGCACAATTTGTGGCAGGTACATAATGGAGGAAGAAAATTTTAACTAGCATTCCATCAAGCAGAATGTGATGTATGTTGAAAGAAATCTTATTCGGTCCCCTCATTTCATCCCTACAAGGGTTTTGTAAAGAGGAGAGAGATTGACTCATGTAGAACAAAGAAGTGACAGGCATAAGTAGATGGCTGAAAGCTGCAGAGCTAACAGTGGCTTGAATTCAAGAAGCAGGACTCCTCTGACAGCAAAGCCTGTGCTGTTTACCACCAGGTTTCCTATAAACAGAATATCAATAATATCTTCTCATATTTCCCAATAGCAAAACAAGCATTTAGTGTTTATTTAAATGAAATAATTTGTTGTTCTGTATTAGGTTAAGTATAGTTTTCCACTTAACAGTTGAGGTAGCTCACTCAAGGTCACACAGCTAGTGGAGACACTCAGGTCTTTCCATTACTGTGTCCAAGTGATGACTTCAGACAACAGAAACACATTCAGTGAGTACATAGACAACCCCTAAAGTCTAAATAAACTCTTATTTCTCAGAAACATATCATAAGTAGCAATCAAAGCAAACATGGGGAGGACAACAGTGTTTTTTGTTTGTCCTTTTTGTTTTGTATTATATTTTTGTTTACTTTTAAGTAGTCCACCAAGAAAAAAGCAAAAATCAATGAGATTAAACCTTTCTGAATGTTTTACTCAACAACACTGTGGGACTTGTTGGGTATTTGTCCCCCAACTCCACCTCCTTTTCTATTTTGGTGATGCTAGGGATTGAACTAAACCTTTCAAGTGCTCAACAGGAAAGTTATCAGCTGAGTTATATACCCAGCCCCTTATTGGGTTTTCTTGAATGATTGTTCAGAATAGATAGTTACATCCCTCCCAAACACTTACACTTATTTTTCTACTCTTCTTCAGTATAAAAGTAATTAAATCAGTTACCTAAGGATAGCCGGTGTGTGTGTGTGTGTGTGTGTGTGTGTGTGTGTGTGTGATTTAAAGTGTAAAATGGATGGGCTGGAGAGATGATCCAGAGGTTAAAAGCACTTATTATGGCTCTTGCAAAAGATCAGAATTCAATTCCCAACACCCACATGATAACTTGTCATCTAATTCTAAGGGATCTGATGCCCTCTTTAGACCTCAATAAAAACTAGGCACATACATACATGCAAGGAAATACCCATACCTTTAAAAAAAAAATGAAAATTAAGTCTCTTTGGGGGGGGGTAAAAGGGAAGTTAATGTACATGGTAGATTAAAAAATATTTTCATTTATTTTGCAGTACACATGTGCTACAGTGCATGTGAGGAGGTCAGAGGACAGCTTGCAGAAATGGTTTTCTCACCACGATGACAATTTTGAAATTTACTTACGCCTTTGAGATCACACACATAAAGTCTAGGAAGAGCCAGACAGTGGTGGCACACTTGGGAAGCAGAAGTAGTCTACTCTCTCTGACTTGGAGGCAAGCCAGGGCTACACAGAGAACCCCAGTTTTAAAAACAAAAAAGTCTAGAAAGGAAAAGTAATGTTTGTTTGAATACTTAGAGATCAAAGTCATAGGAGATTAAAAAGTACTAGATGGAGTAATCTTAGTAGACTATGAGTGCCATATTAGCAATAAAGCTCATTTCTAGGAAAGACATTCTATTCCTTGGCACTGTGCTCATACTTCTATTTTTGTTCCACTTTGTTTCTTCCCTGTACACTTGCTATTTAAAAATTTACATGGCTGTTGTTTCCATTTTGCTTGGTACTTCAAAAGTGGCTGCTACTTCTGCAGGATCTTGCTGGTGTCTTGCTTGACCTGAGGGCTTTTAGAACCTGGAATAACTCCAGGTGCCATTTTAATGTAAACTGATGTTGTCTTTATCCCAACTTAGATTTGTAGTTCTTGATATCCTAAACATAGCCAGCTTTGCCTAGAAAGATTTGTTTTTAAGAGGATGTGGAAATGATTCAGTGGCTAAGAGCACTTTTTACACAAGCAGGAGGATCTGAGGTGAAGTCGCCAACACTTTTGTAAAAGGCTGGTCACTGATGAATGTGTCTATAACCCCCTACCATCTGAGTGATGTATGTAGCTGGCATGTAAACCTACATACATGCAGCATACACATATATACAAACCCACACACCAAAAAAGAAAGAACTGTATCATTTGGAGATTTAGAAATTCATTTTATACTGTTCTGAGACTGAAATGGAATTCAAGAATATCTATATAATACCAAATTTTAAAACCAAATACATAATAAGTTCTATATGTGTTTGATTTGTTTTCTGTTCTTTACCTGTGAATTGCTTGCTAGTAGGTAAATATAGCAAGGAAATATGCTGCCTCTAGGCTTAAAGTGGTCTCTTATATAGAAAAACAAAGTGATATGGGAAATTTTGTAGTGTTGGGTTGAAAAACAAAGGACTGAACAATTTGGTATGTAATGAATATTGTTCATTGCAAAATAATTGAAATTTCATTGTCATTAGGTACTTTAATACACATGCAGAAATTAATGTAATTTTTAAAAAGTGCTCTGGGCGTGTTGGCATTTGCCTTTAATCCTAGCATACATGGGCCAAAGATAGATCTCTGTGAATCTGAGTCCAACCTGGTCTACATAGTGAGTTCCTGGACAGCCAGGGCTATGGTGAAAGAACTTGTCTGAAAAACCAAAAAATAAAATAGATATGAAATAGCTCTTGATTAGCATACTGTTTCTTGATGAAGATTATTTGGGTTTTGTTTGTTTGTTTTCTCACTTAGAATTGACTTAGTATCATGATACGTGGATATTCCAAAGGTGAATGTAAATCCTAGTGTGTGATATTAGAGAAAGATAGAACTTTTATTACAGTAGCATATAACTGTTCTGAATTTTAATAAATATATACAAAAATATGAGTAATAAGTATATGAACCATTATAGAAAGCTCTAAGTAGTAAAATAATTTAAATCAATGTTAGCTTCCTGTCTCTGTGACAAAATACCTCAAAAAAACTAAACTGAAAAAACATTAAACATCCTTCTATTGCAATAGAAACACCATGACCAAGGCAAGTTCTAGAAGTTTATTTGGGGGATTGTTGGGAGCCGCGGCAGGTGCTGGCAAAGTCCGCCATCGCTAGGTGGCGCTGTCAGCCATAATTGTTCCTAGTGAACAAATAAAGTGCGCATGTGCCATGGTAAAGCCCGCCAAAGCTGAGCCCATCCCACGGCGTTTGGCGCGCAACGAGTATACAGCCAGTCAGAGGTGATTACGCCGCTCTAGGGTATATAAGGGCTTTTCCCAGGCCTGGGGGTCGTCTTCTACCACCATTTTGGTTTAGGGAAATAAACGTGTTTCTACGGAAGGATTCTGGTGTGTGTGTGTGTGTGTGTATGTGTATGTTTTTGCCGGCGAGACACTACACGCGCGCGCCTCACAGGGGATATAGTTTCAGAAGGTGAGTCGGTGACCATTGTGGTGAGAATGTGGCGGCAGGCAGGTATGGTGCTAGAGCAGTACCTAAGAGCTCACATCCTAATCAACAGCTCTGAGACAAAGAAAACTAACTGGGAATGGTGTAGGTTTTTGGAGCCTCAAAGCCCACCCCTAGCGACACACCTCCAAGGCTATGAATGCCTCCTAATCTTCCCAAATAGTTCTACCAACTAGGAACCAAGTATTCAAATATATGAGCCCATGGGGCCATTCTCATTCACATTACCACAGAAAGGTTGTCTAGGCTCTTGGTTTCAGAGTTAGTGTTCATTTGATAGCTTTGTTATGACATGGAACATGTGGCAGAGAAGCTCCTTTCCAGTCATGGGCTGAGAAGGAGGGAAATAAAAGGACAGAGAGAAGAGAGGGAAAGGACCCAGGCTCTTGATATACTTCAAGCACACATACCCAGGAACTAAACCACTTTGTAATGTTGTACCACCTCCCTATAAACTGAGCACCAAGTCTTTAGCACACCCAGAGGACATTTCAGATCCAAACTGTAGTAACTGTTCATCATTTAGAATTATATTTTCTTAAAATGTATCTCCATCCCACCCCAAATATCTAAAGATCTGAACTCATTATTTTTAACTTGTGTGTGTTTGTGTATAAACACATGTGGTGTGCAAGTGGAGGCCAGAGGACAACTTAAAGAAGTCAGTTTTCTCCTTCCAAACATGTCCTGGGGATCAAAGAAGTATCAGGTATGGGTAGCCAGTGCTTTCAACTACTAAGCCTTCTCACCAGCCCTAGATTTAATTGGGTAAAGAATACACTGGCTTAAATGATTTTAATAATTGTTTTAGTAGAATATGTATCTAGTGGAGATATAGGATGATAACATTTAAGAAAATCTTCCAGTTGCATGAGGTAGAGATACTGATTAGAAGTTTGAGGTCAGCCTGAATTACAGGAGATCCTGTTTCAAAAAGAAAGTCATATAAGCCAGTTTCCGTTTACCATTTGTTTAATAACTGAAATACAAAGTACTAATTGGCAAATTTACTCTGCAAGGGAGTGTTATTTTTAAGTAACAATTTTAAGTGAATGGAAGAATATAAACATGATTTAAACAAACTGCAAAGAGTCAGTTGGCTTATAAACAAGTGGTTCCTCAGGTCTATGGAGTCTGTGGTTTTAGTATGGGTTTTGTTGTTTTGAATTTCTGTGGGTTCTTTTTTCCCCTACTGGTGGAAATATGAAGAAGATTTAATCCTGGTAATGAAGGTGTAAACCTATATTCAAAGGCTGAGAAGTACAGTTAATTTCTTCTTCCCATGTAGCATACAGTTTCCAAGGTTGTTCTTTAAGATCATTGTTTCAAGCGCTCATAGTGTTGAGTTTGGGCTGGACCCATGATTTTTCTTTCTAATCAACAGAGAATGGAAACATTGATTGCACTCACACACACACTTGCCCTTTCTGCAGAGGTGTTAGACTCCCAGGGAATACTCTCTCTCTCCACCTGGCCATGAAGAAAAGAAGTCCTCCGTTTTCTGACTTGTGTGGAGAGAACAAAGTCAGTGTGAGGTGAAGAACTGTGGATAGCCTCCCAGAGCTAAGCTTGTCCTCTGCTGACAAAGGACCAAATATGAATAAATCTTGTAGTTGCAAGTATATAAATTGTACCCCAAACCTAAGAGCCCGAAAGCAGATTCTTCTCCACTGAAGCTTCTAGATGATAATTTCACACAGCCGACATTTGATTGAAGAAGACGAGGCCCTGATGCAGGAAACCAAACTAGATAGGTTCTTGCAACCTATTCCTGGAGGAAAAGGCAAATGAGAAGATTGAGAAGGGGCAAAGTAGACTCAGAGGTGTGTTCTTCAGTTCTGGGGCAGCTGTTCCTGGTGGCTTGGGCCTGTAATCCCACCTCTTCAGGAAACTGATACATGAGGATGTCAAGTACTAGGCCAGCTAGAGCAATTTAGTAATATCTTCTCTCAAAATAAAAAGTGCCCAAAAAGCTGAAAATATAGCTCAGGAGTAGCCCTTGCCTAGTAAGAGCAAAGCCCTAGGCACACCCCAACCATACCCCCTCCAAAAAAAGGACCCAAAAAATAGGTCCTAGTATTTAAGTTATGGCCCTTTTTGAAGTATCATACTTCTGAGTTCTTAACTAAGATAGTTTACTGGAGTAGCTGTCAAGAGGGGGAAAAAGCATCAATCAATTTACTTGTAAAATTCTGTAAGGAGACTGTCCCCCTAATATAGCTGGCTAGTGCATGGTACTCCCAAAACTGTGTTTTCTTTCTTCCCGTGCTCAAAGTCAGATATATTCAGTTCCTTTCCATGAAGAGCATAGTAAGGTAATTGTGCGTCGCTCTTCCAGGCCAACTGTTAGGGACAGATCTTAAAGATGTTTTAGGGCAGATTTTACACACAGGAAAAGGACCATTCTTGTTGGCCTCCAGATGGACAGCATGCTTCCCACTTTGCTTGTCAAGCCCATGGGAGGGCCTGTGTAAATTTGCGTGGGCAAGATGTCTATGGAAGCGGTTCAGATTTAAAACAGAGAGGAGGGCCTGAAGAGGAAGAGTCTGGATTTTCCTATGATGGGGTGTTGAGGCTGGTGAACAGTGAAAGTGAAGCGATACACCTTAGGATGCCATACCGAGCAGAAAGCCTCCAAAAAATCCTCCAGTTACTAAAACATTCTTCTTTACAAAGCACACCACCTCCTCAGCTTTGCTCTTGACTTCAGTTGGTATTTGGGCGCTCTTCCGAATCGTCAGCTGCTCCTTAGCTTTTTTCATGTCTTTCTCTACTCGACTCCAGTCAACTTTGATGTAACCAGTATGGTTTGCAAGCTGGAGGAGAAAAAAGCCCCCTCCCACTGCTGTGGCAGCCAGCTTTCCAACTTTCTGGAATATGAAGCCAGTGCACCAACCAGTGACGCCTCCAATAAGGAGCTGGGTTGCCACACTGTACTTCTCACCTGAAGACCGACTCTCCTGTCCAAAAAGCTTGCGCCACCAAGGCTGGTTTTTGGCAAATTCTGTAAGATCCAGTGCCTCATAAGCATCAAAGTGCCCTTGACTGGCCGAGGCCATCGTTGTAAGCTGGCTGTGAGAGGAGAAGTGATGAGGGTCAATAAAGGAGGAGACTGAGCGTGCCACTGTTGCGGTTGTGGTGGTGGTGGTGTTCGTTGTCATGACCTGCTGGCTTTCCGCACGTGGGTAGATGTGTCCATTCCCACGGCCGCGGCGGAAGAGAGCTGGTAGAGCGCGCGCGCCTCAGCTTTCCCCCAGCTCCAGCTGCGTCACAAAGCCACGTTGGCCTTTATCAAGTACTTGAGTGTCCTAAGAAGGCTAAAAGTGACCCAGTTGTCTGTGTACGTAAGACTGGGAAAGCAAAATATGTTATAAATAGTGGTTGGAAGATTTGGTGGATTTTGCAAAAGAAAATGGATTTCAACTGAATGCTCAAACAAGAGATTTGTTAAGTACAATCCAGATTTTCCAAAGTGAAGTTCAAGGTATTACCATGAATGTCTGTTTAATACAACTAGCTGGAAGCATTTTACAGGAAATTCAAATGAACAATTTCATATTAGAAGTGTTGCTTCTTTCCGTTTTACAGCAGAGACACTCTTTAAAGATGTGCATTTATTTGGGATTGTGCAGGTGATTACAGCCAGGATGAGTATACTCTGATAGATACATCTAAGGAGACTGAGACAAGTGAAAACTTTTTAGATTTATTCTTCTCTCATATATTACATCCCGAATGTAGTATGTCTGTTCCGGGTCATGCCTTCCTCTCTATTAACCAAACATGGTGTATCAAGTTACAAATGAAAACTTGTAAGGCAAAAGGAAGTTTTGAAACAAAAATTCATTGGTTACAACAGCTTGCTGCCAGCAGTATTATGTTTGCTTGGCTAATGAGGTCTTCACAAAAATAATTCTGATTGTAAGATTATGGTTCAGACAACTGCAACTGTACACCTAGGGCTATCTTTTACTGGAAAGATGTGGGTAGAAGTAAGCTTAATGCACAGCTGTGGGGTTGACAGTTTTTGTGATAGCCTAAGGAGTAACAGTATCTAGTAAATATTCCTGGTTATGAGAATTGTGAAACAGTGTGAACAGCTTGCTTTGCTGGTCCAGTCCTAAGAAGAAGGTAAAGTGCCAGTCCAGTTGATTGTGGGTTACACTGTATACTATACAAAGAAAAACTTGAAGGCATCCAGGAATGTTGCACACCTGAAATTCTAACATTTGGAAAGCTGAAGCAAAAGGAATGCCACACATTTGAAGCCAGCCCCAAGCTACCAACAGCCTTGGACTACATAGCTAGATACTAGAACAGAACAAAGCAAAACTGGATGTAGTGGTTCATCCCTATAACCCAGAACTTGGGAGACAGAGATAGAGGATCAGGAGTTCAAGAATAACTTCAGTTACATAGTCAGTTGAAGACCAGACTCTACTGCTTGAGACCCTTTCCCTAAGGAAGAAAAACATTAAATTGAACTTTTTAATATATCAAAAAGTCTAGATTAAAGTCATTCAAATTTTTTGAAGAAATAAATATTAAAGTTAATTGATAGAAATATAATTTTTTATGTTTCATATATCTGTACAGTTAAACTTTAATCTGAATCATGTTTTATCCATATATATCTGAACTGTATCTTTCATTTTTATAGTATTGGGGATTGAACCTAGGCTTTCATGTCTGAATTCTGCCTCAGCTACATCTCAAGCCCTGAACTACACCTTGTAATTGGGAAAGGTTGAGCTAGATATTAACATTTTCTTAGAAATATTTGAGAAATAAGCTGGATGATGGTGGCACATACCTTTAATCTCAGTACTCAGGAGGCAAAAGCAGTCAATCTCTGAATTTGAGGCCAGCCCGGTCAGTCTGCAGAGTGAGTTCCAGGACAGCTAGGGCTGCACAGAAAAACCCTGTCTTGAAAAAAGGAAAAAGGAAAAAAAGGGAAAAGAAAAAGAATATTTGAGAACTAAATAATATCCAATAAGAAGCACTAGTTATGTGTGTTCACAGTTAAAAAGAGTATGGTGAACCTGCTAGATCTTGAACATTTTATTATTCCTGAAGTTGAAGTTTGGTTCTCTCCCCTACTAGCAATGTGGTCTAAGATAAATAACTGTTTTCTTTGTGCCTCAGTTTCCTCTGTATAACTCAGATAATCTTTTTTCAAGGGTCCTTGTATAGCTTAAATAAGAACATGTAGTTGTGTTGTAAATTAAATAGTGCCTGGCTAATACTACAGAACTATGTGGTTATCATTCCTTAATCTTGCTTTTTAACAGACTAGGTACTTAAGTCAGTCCCTGTACTTGAGATGAAGAATTCATTGTTTAGTAATGCTTTAGGCTCTTCATTTCTCTATTTTCCATCCCAGTTCTTCTAAATCTTCTACTATATTTTTACAGGGACAGATTCAGTGATTTACTCTTCTGTCTTTAATTTTGTCTGGTATTCAAATAAATGGTTACAAAGTTGACCTCCTGCCTTGATGACAAGTAAAAATATTTTAACTAATTTTAAATTTTACTTCTAGATGCTGTTTGGCACTCATGGGTGTAAGCAAGTTAGATATTCTATACCGGAGACTTCTCCTCACAAAACTTTTCATCAGAGGATGGGGAAGGCCAGAAGACCTCAAGAGGTAGTGTGTGTGTGTGTGTGTGTGTGTGTGTGTGTGTGTGTGTATTTCATGAATGCTTGGCTGTTTATGTGTATGAGTACTTGCCTACATGTTAAGTGTTTGTGTACCACCTGTGTGCCTTGTGCTTGTGGAGGTCAGAGGAGTAATGGGATCCCCTGGAACTGAAGTTGAATGATTGTGAATCACCACTTGGGTGCTGGGAACCAACCTGGGTCTTCTATAAGAGCAACAAGTGCTCTTAGTTATGAAAGCATCCCTTCAGCCCTTGAATAGGTATTTTTAATTTCTTGTTTTAATACACATTTAAATTTTTATTTTAGTTATAATGTATTGTAGCTTCAAATCTAGAATGGTTTATTGATGAAATTAAATATTGAACTTCATAAAATGTTTTTCTTTTTTCCTCCTAGTTATTTTTGTATACTTTAGCATATAGCATCATGACTTGGGTGCAAACTAGTTTTTTAGCATCACTCATTACTACACTGGTTGAAGTAGTGTGTGGTTTCCAGGTACTGATCTTCTTAGGTAACTTGAATTTTCAGTTACTGTGAAACTGGAATACACTGGAGCTAATGCCAAAACCTGGACCTAAGAAAAATTATTTTCAGGATTGACCCATTTCATTCTGAATCTTAAATGTGTTTATTCTAAACAATTTTGTTTCTCATATTTTATTTATTTATTTATTTATTTATTTATTTTGGTTTTTCGAGACAGGGTTTCTCTCTGTAGCCCTGGCTGTCCTAGAACTCACTCTGTAGACCAGGCTGGCCTCGAACTCAGAAATCCGTCTGCCTCTGCTTCCCAAGTGCTGGGATTAAAGGCGTGCGCCCCCACTGCCTGGCATTTCTCATGTTTTTAAGAGAAGTTTTCCAGTTCCTAAAAGAGAGATGAAAAAATACCCTTTTCTATCAATGATAAAAGTTAAATTGAACAAGGCCTCTTAACTGAATTTGCTAATTTTAATCACTGTACATCACTCATAACATAGTAGGTCTAATATTTAACATAAGAGGTTTATTTTTTTTTTAATTTAAAAAAAATTGTCTCCTAACAGGCTCTTTGAATTCAGAAAGATGATTGGAAATCGAGAAAGGTGCCAGAACCTGGTTTCAAGTGACTATCCAGTACATATCGATAAGGTATGCAAGAACCAAGTATTGAAGTCACCCTCAGACAGTGTGCTGTAGCATGTATGCATATTTCAAGAGTGCTGTTCTGTCCCAACCACATTTTAGTTTTATTCATAAGTAGTGGGGAATATGTTTAGCATTTGCCTGAATACATAGTATTTAGGCTGCATTTTTCTGAGTTTCATTTTGTATCCTTAGGCTCCTGAGGGTTCAATTATTCAACATTAAAGAAGAATATTAAAGAAAACTAGTAAGTATTAAAAGAAAGCAATCTACTTGGAGGATGAGCACATTAGGCATATTTGCAAAAGCAGCTATTAGGAAGTACCAGGGAGCTGTAATAGAACACAGTGCTCAGAGAAGGCTAGAAGGTACTCTGGACTTAGGGAGACAAGAACATGTTTGAAATTGTTTTGTTTCCAAAGCAATCAGCTGCTTTTATGTAAAATCTAAGTTTGTATAATTGAGTACTTTGAAATATTATAGAAGGGAACTAGATGGGTAGGTTTCACAATCCATCCCTGACCTTCAGCTGAAGTAAGTATAATTTGCATCTTTTACATATTGAATATACTGGATATATTTAGATTTCCTTCACCAAAAGTTTCTCCTCCCCCCCCCAAAAAAAAAAAAAACCTCAGAAAAACACAGACGCCTTTTCCACAGCTAGAATGTTACATTTGGTCTAGATTTTAAGAATTTCTTTATGATTTTGGTGAATATTTTTCTCTTTATAAAATATTCTGTTTATAAAAAGATGGCCTTTTATTTTTTTTCTTTTAAAAATTATAGGTCTTTGGGCCAGGTGGTGGTGCCATATGCCTTTGATCCCAGCATTCAGGAGGCAAAGGCAGGCAGATCTGTGTGAGAAACACTGCCTCAAGAAACCAAAAAAAAAAACCCCAAAAAACAACACACATATATGCACATATATATGCACATACATATACACACATATATGTACATATGTATATGTACACACACACACATATATATATATATATATATATATATATATATATATATATATATATATACTTTTACATATACATGTGTATATGTGTGTGTGTGTATACATATATATATACTTTTAGCTAGGTGTGTCTCCTGCTAGGCAGAAGCAGTAGGATGTCTGTGAGGGTAGCTAAGGCTACAGCAGAGAGACCCTATCTCAAAAAACAAAAAAGAAAAAAAGGAGTAGGGTTTATAGGCTGAGGAGATGGCCCAGTGTGGACATGCTCATTGCACAAGCACGAGGGCCTGGGTTTAGATTCCCAGTATCCACATACAGGCCAACTAGGGAGGTGGGTACCTTTAACACTAGTACTGGAGAAAAAAGGACAGAGGGATCTTAGGGCCTGCTGATCTAGTAGAGACTGCACGCTCCAGGTTCAGGGAGAGGTTTCATTGCAAAAAACAGAGCAGCCTGGCATGGGAGAAACTGCCTTTAATCTCAACAGTAGGGAGCCAGAAACAGGCAGATCCCTGTGAGTTCAAAGCCAGCCAGTCTGCATAAGGAGTTTAGGATAGCTAGGGCTTCGTAGAAAGATCCTGGCTCAAAAAAAAGAATACAGAAGAGCACTCACTAGAAGAAGACAACCTGTGATGACTTCTGGTCACCACACATACATGTTTGAGCATGCCCACATACTTAGATGTGCAAACACCGAACACACAGTAAAGAAATACATACACAAATAACCATACCAAGAATGGAGGCTTTTAAATAAGCAGAGTGTGCCAAGTACAGGTCAAGTCTTCTTTCATCTCTGCTAGTCTCCACCTCCTGATCCTGTTTCTGCACAGCACAGATGATCCCCTTAACAATTGGAGGACACACCCACCCTCAGTCTTTAACATTTTAAATTATGTAAATTATGCAATGGAATGTTTTAGATTTGTTGCCTAAGTATATAACCATTACCTATCACTTTTTTTTTTCGGGCTATCACTTTTTTTAAGCCATTTTACTCTGTAATATTTTCATTGACCCAAAGACACATTATGACTCTAGCTATGATTTCCCACAGCTTCTATCCCCATTTGCTGGCAGTTACTAATTTGCTTTCTGTATCTATGGAGTCTCATGTTTAGGATATTTCTTATAAATGGAATTATGCAGTATATGATCTCTGATACTTGGCTTAGAAAGTATTTTTCAGTTTATTTTCATTATTTTGTTGTGTACATGGTCTGTGTGGGTGGGCACACATGGCATCTCATGCATGTCAAATAATAGATTAGAGGATAATGTTGTAGACATGGCTCTATCCTTCCACCTTTAGGTGAGTTCTGGGACTTGAACTTGGGTTGCCAATCTGTTACTACAAGTGCATTTGCCCTCTCTTGCCCTCTTAGTATGTTTATAAGGCTTGTCCATGTTTTACCATGCATCAGTAATCTTTTCTGTGACCATATAATTTCTTATCTACTTATAAATTCATAGACATTTTGGTTGCTTCTACTATTTGGGGGCTATTATGAATAAACTACTGTGAACATTCAAGTATAAATGTTACACGAACATTCTGTATGAAGTAGTTCTGTTTACTATATCTGTGGGTTTATTGTTGGTTCATATGGTGGCTCTATATCTAACCTAGCAAAACCCCAGACTATTTCACAGATTATCTGCACCATTTTACATCCCCACCAGCATTGTACAAGAGTCCCAGTTTGATCAGATTCTCACCAGCACTTGTACGTATCCCAGCCAATCAATCAGTGTAGAATTTAGGGAGCTGAGAATATAGATCTGTGGATAGGGCGTTTGCCTAATTTATACAAAGCCTGAGGTTTAACAGCCAGCACTGCATTTAACACCCACCACTGTGGTGGTGGCGGCACACATCTGTAATTCTAGAAGTGGAGGCAAAGGATTAGAAGTTGAAAAGCATCCTTGACTATACAGTGAATTCAGGCAAGTCTGAGCTACATACACACATATGAAGACAAGAAATGCGTAATATATAGTTTTAAGGCATCTCTATTTTGGGAAAATACAGGAAGGTACAATCAGATCAGGAGTACCCTGAAAAGGAAGAATGACAAAGAGATCAATGCACAAGATCAGCCAGGGTTACACAGAGAAACCCTGTCACACACACACACACAAAAAAAAAAAAAAAAAAAAAAAAAAAAGAGAGAGAGATTAATGTAGTCATATATAAATGAGTGTTACAAACCTGTACTGACAGTATTCTACTGATGCAAAAATATACAGGTTGATTGGAATCTGATAAGCAAAGCTTCGTGGCACACTGCTTGGTAAAAATAGCGTTTTACTCTTTCGATGGGGGGCACTTGTTAAATAGATAATTTGCACAGTCGGTTTTGTTTGTGGTTTGCTTTGGGTTTGGTGGTATTGGTTGGTTAATTGGGGTTTTTTGGGTGAGGTGTTTTGTTTTGTTTTGTTTATGTACACTGGTGTTTTGCCTGCGTGTAAATCTATAAGAGGGAATGAAACTACGTAGAACTGGATTACAGACAATTGTAAGATCTTATATGGATGCCGGGACTTGAACCTGTGTCCTCTGGAAGAGCACCTAGTGCACCATTTAACTCATGAACCACTCCAGCTCCTGGTGGGATTTTTTTTTTTTTTTTTTTTTTTGGTTTTTGTTGGTTTGTTAGTTTTGTTGATTTGTTTGTCTTGATTTTTTTCTTGTCTTTTTTTGTTTGTTTTTTGGTGTTTTGGTTTTTGTCAGAGTTTCGCTATTAGCCCTGGCTGTCCTGGAACTTACTCTGTAGACCAGGTTGTCTTCAGTCTCAGAGATCCACCTGTGAGTGCTGAGATTAAAGCGTGCCCCAAACACCCAGCATTGTTTTTGTTTTTTGGGTTTTTTTTTTAAGATTTATTTTTATTATTTTTAATTGTTTGTATGTGTGGGGGTTGTATGTGCACATGAATGCAAGTGCCCATGGAGGTCAGAGGTGTGAGATTCCCCTGGAGCTGGGGTTACAGAGCGTTGTAAGCCACCTAATGTGGGTGCTGGGACTCAAATTCAGGTCCTCAGGAAGAGCATGGTGTGCTTTTAACCACTGAGCCATCCCTCCAGGCCCCTATCTTTGTTTTTTAATGGTGGGACCAAGGTATATATATAGATGATTGGAAGAATGCCTGCTGTATGGAAGAAAAACAGTTTACTAATCTTAACTCACAGATACATAATACCGATACATAACACCTGCAGCCACTGACATGGATGGGTTTTTGTTTTGTTTGTTTGTTTTTTATTATAGTAAAAATATGTGATACCTTTCTGCTATTTTAATTTTAACCTGTGACTTGAAATAGAATTTTTTTTATACTAAAAAATAATTTCTTGAGAAGTAAGCTTAGAGCCGGGCAGTGGTGGCGCACGCCTTTAATCCCAGCGCTTGGGAGGCAGAGGCAGGTGGATTTTTGAGTTCGAGGCCAGCCTGGTCTACAGAGTGAGTTCCAGGACAGCCAGGGCTACACAGAGAAACCCTGTCTCGAAAAAAAACAAAGAGGGGGGGGGGTAAGCTTAGGTATTGGATGTTAGCAGATTACCTTTTTTATTGTTGCTTTTTTTTTTTTGAGACAAGTCTTGCTATGTAACCCAAGCTAGCTTTGAACTCCTAAGCCTCCTGCCTCAGCTTCAAAACTGAAGTGATTTTAAATATGTGTTACCACAAGTGCTTACAAATTCCCTTTACTACAGAAAAAAAAAAAATCCCCTTTGTCCTTACATAATGCATCAGTATGATATCACACAATGAAGATGATATCAAACCACTCTGAATACTTGATAGTAGCTTAGATGGCACCAAATTATTGCTGCTTCCAAATTGTACTTTTGATTGCTTTTATATAGTTGAATGTTCTTGATTGTTTTTTGTTTTTGTGGTACCTAGAGTTGAATACAGGGACTCCCCACTTGCCACATGCTCTGTACTAAGCTGTACTCCTAGCCCTGTTGAATGGTACTGAATTCTTTTAACTTGTATTTTATTTTGAGATAGTGCCTGCCAGTGTGTGAATTAAATTTATTTCCCAACTATACTATAGCATAGAAAGAAAACAAATATTTATGAATCTGTCTTTTAAAAGGTACAATGGGTAATTCCCTGTTAGGTAAATATAAATGGAGTTTGAAAGACAAAGCTTGAAATATTTCAGAAGGTATCAGTTACATATCATTAAATAAATATGAAACTATAGATAGTCTTGAATAAAAGTATGTCTTTTGGTTAAAAAAATGGGCCAAAAAGGAAACATAGTAAGCAATGAAAAAGTTTTGGTTCTGAGGATGTAGCTCAGTTGTTGTAGGTAAAAACAATGTTCATGTGCAAGAAATAAGAGAATGTTAGTAATTAGTTGAATAGAATTTTTTATCAAAAAAAAAAGTCCATGATAGACCTATATCTTAGTCTACTTTGTATACACCTCAGTTTTCTTTTCTTTTAGGTTGAAGAGCAGTCAGATTGTAAGATCCTAGATGGACACTTTGTTTCTCCCATGGCCCATTATGTGCCTGGTATCATGCCAATTGAATCTGTTATTGCAAGGTAAGGATCTGTTTGGCAAGCAAGATGAGTGAGTTGTGTCTAGCAGGACACTGTTCAAAGATCCTTGAGTGCATGTAAGTACTGCTTATGCTTACAAAGTGTGGCTAATACCCTAATACTAGGAGATTAATTATAGTTACTGATAACAAGGTGAGGTGAAAGCTTAAGAAGTCAACACCATTTTCATAAAAATTCAAACATCCACAGTCACATAGAAATGTTTCCAAAGAATTTTAGTCATATGCTGGCTCTGCTCATTTCTAAGTAGAGTTTGCCTTCTAAATTTTCACTTTGAGGGGTAGTGAGATAGCTTACTGCGTAAAGACACCTGACCATGCCTGCTGACAATTCCCAGGACTCCAATGATAGAAGGAGAGAATTCCCACAAGCTGTCCTCTGATTTCCACACATGAACACACACACACAATAAAATTTCATTTTTAAATTTCTATGATGATGGGGCTCTAGGGTGGCCAAGGATACACAGAAAAACCCTGTCTCAAAAGCCAAAAAAAAGAAAAACAGAACAAAACAGAACCAGCGTAACTGTGGTATTTACTTGTGGTAGTCAGTTTTTTCTTGCTCTAAGATAATTATTATTTTAAATTTTATTCATTTATTTATTTTATATGAGTAGATTTTTTATCTGCAGGTATGTCTGCATGATGTATGTGCTGGTACCCAGGAGGCCAAAAGAATGTGCTAGGTCTGGGACTGGAGTTATAGATATCTGTGTCTCACTATGTGGGTTCTGAGAATTGAACTTGGATCCTTTAGAGGAGCAGCCAGTGTTCTGAAATACTTACCTATTTTCTCAGACCTGTTTTTTTGGTTTGTTTGTTTGTTTGTTTGTTTGGGTTTTGGTATTAGGTTTTGGTTTAATTTTTTTCTTTTAATAAAATTAAAATAAAATGCAAGTAGTGTTGAATAGAGCAAAAAAACAAGGACTTTGGCTTTAAACAGATCTGGACTGAACCCTGGCTCCACTACTTATTAATCCAGTGACCTTAGGGCCAGGTATTTCTCTGAACCATATGTTGTAAAATAAAGATGATAACACTTTATCCCACATGGTTGTTAAAAGGGCTAAATGACAGCAGGAATGAAAATTGTATTCAATGACAATAAACCAGTTAAGTAAACATGTGGTTCTTTAGACTATATATTAATGGTATGGTAAAGGAATTGCTATTTCTACATACTATAGTTGTACTCCCTGGATCTGTGTCCCCTTGTAGCTTTTCAGCCTTAGCTAGAAAATTGTGTAGGTATTAGCTTAAAGAAAAGGGGAAGAACTTGGTAAAAAAGAACGTGGTTAACATGGCTTGACGGAGGAAGGAGAAATTCAGTCTTAGAATATCATTTCAACATTTATAATGAGTTAAGGAAGTTCGTTCTTGGATAGGGAAATAACCAAATTTAACTCTGCAATATCATTTATTTTTTGTTTTTAAAGAGTGCTTGACACTCTGGTCTCCAGAGTGAGTTCCAGGACAGCCAGGACTACACAGTGAAACTGTGTCTCAAAAAAAAACAAAAACAAAAAACAAGTGCTTGAGACACAGTCACTGTATATTCCAGGCTAGCTTCAAAACTGTCAAGCCTCTTGCCCTAGCCTCCCAGGTGCTGGTCTGCAGTGGCATAATCTTAAAGCATTATTCATTTTGATGAGTAGAAATTCCCAAATGATGCACATTGACGTCCGTTTTCTGTTCTTTACTGATCTGCTTGGGGGCAGAGTGGGCATAGTAACTTATCACTGCATTGAGGTATAATAAGATACAAATAAGAGAATAGTATGAATAATTGCCACAGAGAGATCATTGCTGTGTTACATCTATCATCGTCTTTTTTCCTTGGTATTCACATGTAAGACTGCTTATTTTCATTTTGACCTAACTAATCAATGAAGGTAGTCTGTCATTGTGTTAATAGCTGGTAAGTATTCCCTTCAGTGGCTCTACCATAAGTTCCTAAATTTTCAAGGCACTTAAATGGCATATTTTGTTCATTTAAGCAACCTAACATCTTTCTATATATTTTTTACCTGTCTAGTTTCATGAAGTTTCTAGATTTGTTGGGGAATATTTGTGTTTGTTTTTAGTTTTATTTTGCTTTGTTTGAGACATCCTCTATTTTTTGTCTCTGTTTGCTTGTTTTCTTTTTTCTTTTTTTTTTTTTTTTTTTTTTTCTTTTTTTTTTTTTTTTTTTTGGTTTTTCAAGACAGGGTTTCTTTGTGTAGCCCTGGCTGTCCTGGAACTCCCTCTGTAGACCAGGCTGTCCTGGAACTCAGAAATCCGCCTGCCTCTGCCTCCCAAGTGCTGGGATTAAAGGCGTGTGCCACCACTGACCGGCTTCTTTTTGTTTTTTTGAGACAGGCTTTCTCTGTTTAGCCCTAGCTGTCTTGGAACCCATGCTGTATATCAGGCTGGCCTCAAGTTCAGAGATCTACCTGAGCATCTTGTGCCTTCTTCCGGTCTCCAAGGGGACCAAATACACATGCACAGATATACACATAAAATTTAAAAAAAAAAAAAAACTTTTTTTTTTTTTTTTGGTTTTTTCGAGACAGGGTTTCTCTGTGTAGCCCTGGCTGTCTTGGAACTCACTCTGTAGACCAAGATAGCCTCGAACTCTCGAACTCAGAAATCCACCTGCCTCTGCCTCCCAAGTGCTGGGATTAAAGGTATGCGCCACCACCGCCCGGCAAAAAAAAAAAATCTTAAAAACTACAGTTACCATCTTTGTCTCAGACATCGTGACACAAACTTTTAATCCCATCACTGGAGAGATAGGTCAGCCTGTCTAACAACAAAACAAACAAAACCTCACTATGTAATTGAGACTGGCTTTGAACTTGTGATCCCAAGTGCTGCATCATAGGCATGTGCCACCATACCTAGGATTACCATGTATACAATTAGATATTAAAAATACTGTCTCATATACATGTGTATGTATGTGTCCACACACACACACACACACACACACACACACACACATATATATATATGCATGAGTGTTTTGCCTGCATGTGTGTGTACCATGAATATGCAGAACTTAGAAGAGGCACATCCACATCCCTTCAAATTAGCATTATGGATGGTTGCGAGCCACCACATAGGTGCTGGGAATTGAACCTGGGTCCTATGCAAAAGCAACAAGTGTTCTTAACTGTTGAGCCAATTCTCCAGCCATGTTTTATATTATTTTAAAGTAAGTCTTTTGGTTTTTCGAGACAGGGTTTCTCTGTATGTTTCTGGCTGTCCTGGAACTCACTCTGTAGACCAGGCTGGCCTCGAACTCAGAAATCCACCTGCCTCTGCCTCCCAAGGGCTGGGATTAAAGGCGTGTGCCACCACTGCCCGGCTTAAAGTAAGTCTTAATGAATGGCAGTAAAACACATTAAGAAAATTAATAGTATATCTCTACTTTATTCTGATGTTTTAACAGTAATAAATATGAATTCATATGTGGTCTTTAATGTAAACATGTTTTTAAACCATTCTTACATTACTAATGTGCTACCTACCAATTTTCTACTCATGTAGCAAGGTGAAAAGTAATAGTGTGAACATTCTCCTAGCCTATAGAAACGCTGCAGGAGCTAGTGCTCTTCATGAAACACAGGGGATAGATGATTCTGCCAGTCATCTCCCTATGTATTTACTGCATGGGGCTATGCTAGTAGAGTCATGCCTTTAAATCTCAATGAGTAGTTTGACTTTAACATTGCTGCCCATGATCACTTCTTTTCTTAATGACTAGTTGAAAAGGCTGAAAGTAATGTGGACAGTAATGAAGAGAAGGTGCTGTTGAAGGGAAACTGTTACTAGAGGGAAGGAGAAGGGTGTGTCACATCTATTTATCTGTTCAGGGAGTCCTTCATAAAAGCATGTGGAATGCCTCACCAAAGCCACGTGCTGCTACTTCAGCACCCTCCTGACTTGTAATCTCTTAAGCCTACTCCATCTGTACTCAGGAAATCAGACAGTGCAATGACACACTTACATCTTGACTTTCCAAAGAACCATGCAGAATTAGAAAGAGTTTTAAGGCAAAGGAAAAATCACTACTCATTTCATGTGACAGAAGGTAGAGCTTCCCTCCTAAGCTTTCCTGTTAACTTTCAAAACACCACTGGGTCCAGATGTAGTGGCTCATGCCTCTAATACTCAATAGGAGAAGCCAGCCTGATCTGTATAGTGACTTCTAGACTAGCCAAGATTACACAGAAAGACCCTGTTTCAAGAACAAACAACAACCAAGAAATCAGCAGTGTTTGCCTTTGAAATATACAGTTTGAAACTCAAAAGTACTACTTTCAGCTAGTAGCCTTTTCAACTAGTCATTAAGAAAAGCAGTGACCCATGAGTAGCAATGTCAAAGTCAAACTACTCACTGAGATTTAAAGGCAATATTTACAGGTTACTGGCATAAAGTGTCTTACTCTTATCTTAACGTGTGTGTGTGTGTGTGTGTGTGTGTGTGTGTGTTAATTATAATGGCATTTGCAGAGACAAAGTGCGAAAACAGACATGAGTACAAAGGTACAAGACAAAAGAAGTCAAGTAAAAGGAAATCATAGTAAGAAGTGGTGGAGACAGGCGTTGTGCCACTGAGTCTAGAATCCCATAATTTGGAAAGCTAAGGCAGGAAGACCATGAGTTCAAGTCTTCTGAGCTATATATGGAGACTTTATCTCATGAGGAAAGACAAAACAAAACAACCACAAAAAAAAAAAAATCAGAAAAGGAAAGAAAGAGATAAAAGAGTCCTTCTGTGAGGCTACAGATGCAATGTTCTAATTACATGAATTAGTTGCTACTGCCCTTCTTTCCGCCCTATCTCTTCATACACTTTTGAAACTTAGAATATGGAAAGTTTATATTCTATTATATAACTACAAAAGTTCATATAACTTAGTATTTAAAAGCTCAGCACTTACAATTCCAGCTACACCATTTCTAGATTTAAGACCTCACACAAGTCATTTAATTTTTCTGTATCTCAGTTTCCGCATCTGTAAAGTAAGAAAATAATGCTACGTACTAAATGAGATGGTAATTTTTTTTCTTTTCAGAAAATCATTTCTCCTGATATATTCAGTGTGCTCAGCACCTCTTTGGACACACTATGTCTGATACATGAACAGATAAGCGGTCACACATACATATACACTAAGAATAATAATTTCCTTTTTTTTTTTTGGTTTTTTGAGACAGGGTTTCTCTGTGGAACCCTGGCTCTCCTGGAACTCACTCTGTAGACCAGGCTGGCCTCGAACTCAAAGTAATAATTTCTTAAAGGAGGAAATAAAATAAAATATATCCAGTTAGCTGGACATGGTAATATATGCCTGTAATCCCAAAACCTGTTTGTATAGTTTGTTTTTGTTTCTGTGTTGACATAAGGTCTCTCACTGTGTAGCCCTTAGCTGGTGTAAAACTTACTCTGTGGACCAGGCTAGCTTTGAATTTGTCATCCTCCTGTCTCTTTTAAGAACTAGGGTTACGAGCATGCGCTACTGCACTGACTTAAATCCCAAAACTCTGGAATTAGAGGAAAGAGGATGACAAGCTCCAGTCCAACCTAGGCTACATAGTGACACCAGATTTTAAACAATCAAACAAATAAATGGAGTAAAGCATAATCCAAAATATGTTTTAAATTTAAAAAGAGTAGAACAAATAAAAAGCTTTCTACCCTATTCTTCTAGGGCTCTTTTAAAAAAATAATTTGTGTATGGATGTGTATACATGTAGGGGTAAAATGAAAACATGAAGATGATGGTTCTCTCCTGCAATGTGGGATGCAGAACTCAAGTGCACCAATCTAGCTTGACAGCAAGCACTTCCACCTGCTGCTACCATCTCATCAAACTTCTAGGACAGTATAATTTTTCAACTTAACTCATCTTTCGTGTGTGTGGGGGGGCATTATGTATATGCATCCACATGAAGGTGGTGGATAGCTGTAGGTCAACCTCCTATGTTGTTTTGTAGGAATTATCCACCTTTTTTTATTTTTTTTAAAGTGTTCTTTTACTTATTTATTTGTTTTTATTTATATGAGTACACCGTAGCTGTCTTCAGACACACCGGAAGAGGGCATCAGACCCCATTATAAATGGTTGTGAGCCACCATGTGGGTGCTGGCAATTGAACTCAGGACCTCTGGAAGAGCAGTCAGTGCTCTTAACCACTGAGCCATCTCTCCAGCCCCGCCTTTTTTCTTAAAATAGAGTCTCAAGGGCGCTTACAGATGAGACTAGACTAGCAGGCAGCAAGCCAGTTCTTCCCCAGCATTGAAACTGAGATCACAAGTGAATACCACACCTGGCTTTTGTTTTGGATAGTTTCACCTATCCCACCCAAGCTGGCCTCAAACTTGTTATGGCTTTGGACTTCTAATCTTCCTGCCTCTAAATCCTGAGTGTTGGGATTACAGGAGTGTACTAAGGCCAGTTTTATATTTTCCTGGAGATTGAACCTAGGGCCTTTTGCAAGTGAGGCAAGTCTCCACCAACTGATCTACATCCCAGATCTTTACATGGGTAAAAATAAGGTCATAGTGCTTGCTTACATCTCTTGTCTACTTGGCCACTACAATCACTCTTGGAAGTCTCACGTTGCTAGCTGAGCCATTGATCAACCCCTCTTGTTTATCTTTTTCCCTTAGAAATGCTTATACATTGGAGAATTTTCTGTGTTTTGTTTTGTTATAGGGATAAAAAAAATAGGAGAATTTGTGAATCCTAATTATCATGATTAAAGATATATATATATGGGTGTGTATATGTATACATATATACATACATAAGGATACAAATATGGATATATTTCATATATGTATATATGAGCTACTCATTTTAAGCATATAATAATTGTTGTAACTACCAAGTCATACAACTGTCTTAATGGAATTTTAAAAATCATTTTGTTGGCTGGTTGTGGTGCATTCCTTTAATCCCAGTATTTGGGAAGCAGAAGCAAGCGTAGCTTATTGCGTTCAAGGCTAGCCTGGTCTATATAAAGAATTCCAGGACAGTCAAGGATATGTAGAGAAACTGTGTGTGTGTGTGTGTGTGTGTGTGTGTGTGTGTGTGTGTTTTAATTTATCTTACCAACTTTCTGGTGCAATGGAGTTCCTGGTGTTTGTGAGCTATCTACCCGATCTGATGTGTATGCTTCCTGGGACTGAGCTCAGATCCTCTAGAAAAGCAGGAAGTTCTCTTAACTGCTGCTCAATCTCTCCAGTTTCTTTTTTAAAAAGTGTGTGTGTGGGGGGGGGGTGTTTACAAATATATGTATATTTATGAATGTGTATATATGTCTATATTATGTAAATATACTTTTTTGTGGAACGTGGGATTAAACCTAGAATCTTGCTCATGGTAAGCAAGTGCTTTGCTTAGTTTTTGTACTTTCTTAACTGTATTCCAGCCTCACTGTTCAGTTTCTGAGAGAATAGTCATCTAGTTTTATCTGACAATAACATCCTGCCACGTTAAATAAACATGCTAAAAGTTTGACACACCTGCTGTTTATTTTTTTTTCTCCCCATCTGTGGTATCATAGGTCATTCCCCTTTTTAATTTTTTTTTTAATTCTTTTACAGTTTCATTCATGAACATAGTATTCTTTGCAACATTCTATTCCCAGTATTCTCATTCTCTTCCCCATCTCACCAAATCCCTAATCTTTCTTTTCTTTTCTCTTTTTTTTAAATCCCTAATCTTTCTAACTCTTCCTCCTGCTTTCATGTTTTTTCCTCCTAAGAGAATTAGGTTTATAATATTGTAGTTTTTGGACACATAGTTACAAACTGAATGTCAAAATTCTAAGTATTTATTTCAGATAGTTAAAGTATAGGCCAGTAAGATAGCTGAGTAGATAGAGACACTTTGTTAAGACTGACAAAGTTCAATTCCTAGGACTCTTGTGGTGAAGGAAAAGAACTCCTGCAGGTTGTTCTCTGACCTGCATCTGGGCACACCACTCCCACACATACATATACACACACAAACAAATAAATGTTAGTAAATGTAGATCCACTAGCCCGTCCTTCTAGAGAGAGCTTAATTATGACAGCTTTTCACATGAGAGCTTAGAGCTGGCATGAACTACACCTGGAACTCCAGCACTCAGGTTGTTAAGGTAGGAGGGCCACAAGTTCGAGGCCAGCGTTACCTACATAGTAAGTTCAGGCCAGCCTGAATTATATAATGACAAGACCTTCTCCATGAATTAATTAAACAAATGATTAAAAACATATACATGGATATATGTGTGTATAGTTTGTAGCTAATTTTCTTTTTTAAAAAAAAAAAATCTCATTTTTTTAATAGGTTCCAGTTTATCGTGCCTAAGGAATGGAACAGCAGATATAGACCTGTGTGCATTCATCTGGCTGGAACAGGAGACCATGTAAGACTTGTGACATCATAGGACTTCAACCTAGAAAAGTCTTAGCACTTCTCCTCAGCACTTGTCTATAGTATTCCTAACATGTCACCTCTTCTTCCTACAGCATTACTGGAGGCGTAGAACGCTCATGGCTCGTCCTATGATTAAGGAGGCCAGAATGGCTTCGTTGTTACTAGAAAACCCTTATTATATCCTTTTATGATAACTTAAAACATTTCTTTCTCTCTTTGTTTATATATTTACTCTTCAAAAGAAGAACATCGGGTGCTCTCAACCACTGAGCCATCTCTCCAACCCCCATGGTAACTAACTTTTCAAAACTAGTTAAATCCAGTTATCAGTTCAGAAAATTATTAAAAAGCAAGAATGAAAAGGAAGAAAAGTTTGTTTATGCATTTTAAAAAGAAATGTAATGGAAAGTAGAGTTCAAGGCCAACTTTGGGTACACAGTAAGTTTGAGGCCAACCTAAGCTACAAGAAATCCTGGTCAAAAAAAAAAAAATTAAGAATAATAGTTGGTGCATGCCTTTTATCCCAGGAGGTTCTAGGTGAATTTGAGGCATAGCAATTTCCAAAATAGCCACAACTACTCTATCTCAAAAAAGAAAAAAAAAAAAAAGTAAAAAGTGTGCCATATATGGTGGTAAATTCCTGTAACCCCAGGTGCTAAGAAGGTTGAAGCAGAAAGGTTGTGAGTTAGAGCCTGCATTAGATGTATAGTGAGACTAACATAAATATTTTAATCCTATTTATAATAATGATAAACTGTACTTCTGTTTCTTAAGGTTCTTATGTTGGACTTAATAAGTCAAACTTTTGCTATAAAAGAAGTGAAATGCATTTATAGTAAAGTAAAGGTAGAGGTTTAGAACAATACTTAATTTTCAGATGATGTCAGATTACTCACAAAAAAAAAAACTGATGCACATTTCTCCTATAAAAGAAATGTACAGTTCGCTGGGCGGTGGTGGCGCACGCCTTTAATCCCAGCACTTGGGAGGCAGAGGCAGGCGGATTTCTGAGTTCGAGAGTTCGAGGCTAGCTTGGTCTACAGAGTGAGTTCCAGGACAGCCAGGGCTACACAGAGAAACCCTGTCTTGAAAAACCAAAAAAAAAAAAAGAAAGAAAGAAAGAAAGAAAGTAGTTTTGAATGTTTTTTCTATATTTCTTAGATTTCTAAATTAAATATGTAAATTATATCAATAAATTTCATTTTATAACTAAATTGAAGATTGTACAACCTTGTAAGTATACTGAGTATATTAATTTATACACTTCAAATAAATGGATTATTTGGTTTGTGATTATATCTCAGTAAAACTGTAAATTTTAAAAACTAGTTAAGTTAAAAATGTAAGGGCTCGTAATCAACTTTTGAAGTAACTAGGGAGTAGTTACTTGGGTATTGTATTCAAATTTAACTGTTTTGCTTAAGTAATGTGTTCTGAGATGAGTATATTTAATTATTTTAAAACTTTCTCTTTGACCCATCTTCTTAAATGGCTGCAGGAAGCCTAAGGACCAAGTGTAAGTATATATCCCTTCATTGTCTTCATTTTTGCAGTCTCTAGGAAAAATTTTTGGTTGTCTTTGGTTAATCATTTCCTTAGTTGACTTATAAAACTTAGAAAGAATATAGACTTAAATTCTTTTTGTTTGTTTTTCTGAGACAGCATTTCTCTGTGTAGTCCCCCAACTGTTCAAGCTGTAGACCAAGTTGACCTCTTACTGACAGATCTATCTGCCTCTGCTTCCCAAGTGCTGGGATTAAAGGCCTGTATGACCACTGACTTTAATTTTTACTGATCAGGACAGCAGAAAAGACTGGGGAACTGAACCGCAACCCCTGAGCCAGAATGTTACAGAGTTTTCAAGCTTAACACCCACATACATCTGTGCCAGGTTACCGTCACAATTTTCCATCAGAATCATTTGTTCTTTCACAGTCAGGAACAGTCATTATGTTTTTGGGAACAAAAGAAGAATAAGGAGGAAGTTAGCTACCTATCTGGAAAGCTTCCAACAGCCTGGGAGCTTAAACTTAATTTCACTTTATGATCAAAATAAGAGTCTAAAAACAAAATGGCAGTAGTTAGGATAAGTCTCATTTGTTTGATCCCAACAGTATATTCAAATAAGGACAAAGCCCTTGCCCTTTTCATGAAGGAAAGACCAATGTCTTCTTTCTACAGCATCTACCAACAGGTTGCTGGCTGGTCACCCAGGAGAATGGTGCTGTATTGGGGCACATAACAACCATCCGTTCCTTAGACAATGCCTTATCCAGTCATGGTATTCCACACAGCATTGCATCTGACCAAGGAACTCACTTCATAGTGTGACAGTGGGCCAATGATCATGGAACCCACTCATCTTATTGTGTTCCTTGCCATACCCAAGTAGCTGGCTTGACAGAACAGTGGAATGGCCTTTTGAAGACCGTTACTGGAAGGTTGGGGCAGTTTTTCCAAAAGGAAGTATATGCTTTGAATCAGTGCCCAGGGTTCCTTGTTTACTGTGAGGACTAGATTAGGATGAACTCTGTGAAACAATGTGAAAGTTAAAGTCCACGCTAGATAGTTCAAGAATTTTCAGTCGGGAGCCAAACCCTGTAATCAAATATAGGTGTTATTTTTTCCTTATCTATAAATTGCTTAAAAAACAGAGAGTTTGCCAGGGAGTGGTAGCACACTCCTTTAATCCTATCACTCAGGAAGCAGAGGACAGATCTCTGTGGCCAGCCTGGTCTACAAAGCTAGTTCCAGGACAGAAGAAAACTATATAAAGAAACCCTGTCTCTGGAGAGAGAGGTGGGGAGGGGGGGAGAGGGAGAGGGAGAGGGAGAGTTTATTTAGACTAACAAGAAGCAATCTGAGTTAGTAAAAGACAGACTGAGGTTGGAATGATAACTTGTCATGTACTAATTCTATAAGCTGGCCTCTTTAGTTCCACCTACCTCCTTCATAGAATAGAGATAAAAAAGACATTCGTCCTATTGGGTGTGCTGGAACATGCCTTTAATCCCTGAATTCAGGAGACAGAACCAGGTGGATTTCTGAGTTCAGGGGCAGCCAAGGTTATACAGAGAAACCTTGTGTCAAAAAACAAACTAACAAACAAAAGCCATTGTTTCTTATATTATGTACTGGTGCAGGTGGAGCTGGAGTCAGTGTAGATAAGACCCTGCATTTGATCCACAGTACTGAAAATCAGTAGTGAGGATGGTCCAGTTTGTTGTCTTTTTTTCATCGGGGCATTCAACAGGAGTACAAATGGCTTGCAGTTTACATCTTTAAATCAGTTTACTGCTCTTGCTTGCGTTGGTTGTGGCCAGGGAGGTGGGAACTGAATGAGATTCCTCACTCAGTTGTCCACACTGGCCTACTTGAACCTCCCACGTGATGGGATTGTAACCATGTACCATCTTGTCTTGCTTCTCTCCTTTAAAAAGTCATCTTAAGTCTGTTTTCATCCAAAGTAAGTAAACAAAGATTACAAACGAAAACAGGTCCATCATAAACATCCCTGTCTCAGAACCTCACACTAGTATATTCTACGAAAAGAACCAAGGAATAACAGGAAGCAGAACCTCAGAATCCATGCAAGACTAAAATTAATTTTGTAATGAAACTAGCTTAAGAACAGAAAACAAAGGAAGTGGGGTCTTTTCAAATTGAATGTGATCAATTTTGATAAAAGGAGAGCATACAGTTTGTTCTTGTTAGTGTTATTGAAACGGTTTTACTGTGGAGCCCAGGCTGGCCTAAACCCTGCTCCTGCTTCAGCATACCAATGAAATCTTGTCAAAATGTACACAAATTCACTTAATGATTATTCAATTGGTGCCTCTTACATTAATTCTGTGATGAGAGACCAGTTTGGCATTAGAACCTCAGCCACCCACAGTTTAACATCTGCCATCTACTAAGCCTCTAGTTGCAGAAAGCAGGCTTCTCTTTATGAGAACTCCTCTGATGCAGGGCACAGTGGCCCTCCTGTAATGCCAGCAGCACCTGTGAAGCAAAGGTTACTGGGTCAGAAGTTCAGTCATCCTGAGCCTGTGTCAAAAAATTAATAATAGAAAATTTCAGGTATGTTTGTTTTTATTTAAATTAATTTAGTCAGGTTTCATGTTATATACCTGTAATCCCAGCACTAATAATTTGAGGGCAGTCTGGTATGCATGGCAAGGCCCAGTCTCAAAAATAAATTAATTGATTAAAGCATGTTTTTATAGTCAGGCATGGTAGCACATATCTGAAATTTCAGCACTTAGGAGGCAGAGGCAGGAAGATCTCAGATTTCAGGGCTACAGATGAATTCTCTGCTAGCCCAAGCTACATTCCTTTCAGGAGAAAAAAATAAAATGTAATTGTGGGCCAGTGAAAATGGCTAAACTGGTTTAAAAAAAAAAAAGAAGAAAAGATGTTGCACAAGCCTGACAACCTAAGTTTAATTTGTGGAAACCACATAAATGTGGAAAGTGACAACTAATTCCACCCACAGAGTTGTCTTCTGACTTCTAAACATATTGTGACATGTATATATGTGCACATGGACCAGTAGACACCCCTACCCAACATTTTCTTGCTTTTTTTTTTCTTGTTGGTGGGGGTTGGGGGGGTGGGGGTGGGGGCTTGAGGCAGGGTTTCTTTGTATAGCCCTGGCTGTCCTGGAACTCATTTTGTAGACCAAGCTGGCCTCAAACTCAGAGATCCACCTGCCTCAACCTCTGCCTCCCAAATGCTGGGATTAAAGGTGTAGCCCAGCTTGATTAAAAATGTAAATGTTAGCCAGGCATGATGGTTTATGCCTTTAGTCCCAGCATTTAGGAGGCAGAGGCAAGCAGATCTCTGAGTTCAAGGCCAGCCTAGTTTACAAAGTGAGTTCTAGGACAGCTGGGGCTACACAGAGAAACCTTGTCTTTAAAAAAAAAAAAACAATAAACTTTAGGGGTTGGAGAGATGGCTTGGCAATTAAGAGCACTGACTACTTTTCCAGAGAACCCAGGTTCAAATCCTGGCACCTACATGGTAGCTTATAATTGTCTGTAACTCCAAGGTCTGACATTCTCACACAGGTATACATGCAGACAAAACACCAATACACATAAAATAAGTTTGGACTGGAGAGATGGCTCAGCAGTTAAGAGCACTGTCTGCTCTTTCAGAGGTCCTGAGTTCAATTCCCAGCAACCACATGGTAGTTTATAACCATCAATAATGAATTCTGATGTCCTCTTCTGATATGCATCTGTATGTACAGATAGAGCACTCATAAATAAAATAAATAGATCTTTAAATAAATACATAAATTTTTAAAAATGTAAATGCATGAAATAAATTATTTTCTTATTTGTTTTGTGAGGCTAGAAGATCCAGCTTAAAAAATGTGTCTGACCTATTTGTGATGGGAGGCGCTCTCATTCTTGAGTCTGCAGCTCTCTTACACTGGCTGGAGAGGGAAGGTTATGGACCTCTTGGGATGACTGGAATATCCATGGGAGGACATGTGAGTCTTTGCAGCTTTTATTCATTGCTACCATGTTTATAAAGAGGAGTCATTTTAATTGTACTTGAAGCATGAATTTAATGTTGGTGAAAGTAGGAAGTAGAGGCAGTTCCAATAAGAAAGTAATATTATTTTGTATAATTTATGTAGACACAAATATATTGTACAACTTCAGGTATAGCTCAGATTTTGGATTTCATGTTTTATTAAAAGTTGATTACAGCTAGGCAGTGGTGCACACCTTTAATATCAACATTTGGGAGGCAGAGGCAGGTAGATCTTTGAAATCAAGTCCAGCCTGGCCTCCAGAGTGAGTTCCAGGAAATGGAGAAATTCTGCATGCCTTAATCCCAGCCCTTTGGAGGCAAAGGCAAGCAGATCTCTGTGAATTCAGGCTATCATGATCTACAGAGCAAGTTCTAGGATAGCTGGCCATACACAAACAAACCTTTTCAGGAAAAAAAAAAGTTGATTACAAAAAAAAAAATCTTAACTTTTCAAGGGTCTTTTAAATATATTCAAAGTATATCCTTGCTTTTGCTATTGGTCAGTGTTAGACTTCGGCAGCAGCTTAGAACAGATAACAGCAGACCAGATGGTTCCACAAGGAGGGGAGTTATTTAGGGGAGAGGGCAAAGTTGGGGGGAGAGAAACAGAAGAAGATAGCAGAGAAAGAGGAGAAGTAGAGGCCAGCCATGACCACGTGGAGAAGGGGGGAAGGGCAAGGGGGCAGAGAGAAGCTAGAGGCAAGAGAATAAGAGAGAGAGGAGGAGGCAAGCAGCCCCTTTTATAGTGGGCAGGCCTACCTGGATGTTGCCAGGTAACTGTGAGGAGGAGCATACCTGGGTGTTGCCAGATAACTGTGGAGGTGGAGTTTAGACAGAATACTAACAGTCAGAAGAAAAACTAACTAGGAGATGCCTTTTATCTTTTTTAGTGCATATTAACTGTCCAACATATTTTGTGACATTTCATTATGCGTAGAATGTATTTTGATAATTTTTACTTTGTGTATTACCTTTCTCCATCCCCAGTACCACACATGTATGCTTTGTCTATTAGACTACACTGAACAGACCCTTAATTGGTTTGCTGTGCCAGGTCTTTTTTCTCTTTCTTTCTTTTTTTTTTTAATTATTGGGAAAAAAAATTTATATACAATATATTCTAATCATATTTTTTCCCTCTCCCATTTTTTCCCAGATCCCCACTACCTTCTTGTCCACCCAATCCACACTGTTTATCTTTCTTTGAAAAACAAGTAAAAAGCCAAGTGATAGCTAGCATTGGTGGTATACACCTTTGGTACCAGCAGTCCAAGAGGCAGAGGCAGGTAGATCTCGGAGTTCATGGCCAGTCTGGTCTACAGAGTAAGTTCCAAGACAGGACAGCCAAGGCTACACAGAGGAATCCCTGTCTCAAAAAGCAAACAAACAAATGAAACCAAACAAAAACATACAAATAAAAACAAGAAATATGCACCCCCCCCAAAAAAAAAAACCTCCACAAAATTGGAAACAAATTTGTCTTATGGCCAATAAGACAAAACAAAAACAAACAAAAATGCCCAAACAAAGCTAAATGAGATGAAAAGTCTACAAAAATGCCATTGAATTTGTTTTGTGTTGGCCATCTATTCCTGGGTATGGGCCTTACTTGAACTGTGGTTAATATGCTCAGTGAGACTCAGTTGGAGAAGACTCCTTTGTTTCCTTGTGGGTACCAATCGTAGTCAGCTGTTGGTTAGGGGTGAGGACACTACTCCCACCCACCCACCACCCTCAACCTCTCCCTCTAGGGCTGGCAGCCAATCTGGTTTGAACTTGTTCATGCTTCCTGTCTTCTCTGTGAGATCCTGTTATCAGTTCTGTTGTGTCTAGAAGACACTGTTTCCCTAGAGTCATCCACTACCTCTGGCTCTTAATCTTTCTAGCCCCTCTTTGATTCCTCTTCCTTTGCACAGGCTCCTGAGTGTTAAGGAGAGGGTAGAAGAAAACATGCCATGTAAGGCCAAGTGCTCCAAAGCCCCCTCACCCCCTTTTTTTCTCTTTTTTTTTTTTTTTGAGACAAGGTTGCTCTGTAGCCCTACCTACCCTGGAACTCCATCTGTAGGTCAGCTGGCCTTGGACTCCGAGATCCATGCCCCTCCAGCTCCCATTGTCCAGTTGTGGGGTTTTGTTCTCAACTATTTCAAGAAGCCTCTCTGATGAGGGCTAAGCAAGGCATTGATCTGAGTCCTAGCTGGCTTCTTTTAAGTTTTTCCTCTCTGTTTTTACTTGAATGCTAGGGTCTGGTCTTGACTTTCTCCTGCTCACAATGCACTAGCTTGTTTCACAAGGCTCTAGCAATATCAGGCACTAATGTCTCTAGTGCATCACCTAGTTGAGGAGACAACTTTACAGTTTGCCAACAAAACCCATTTTGAATCCCAACTTCACCTGTAAATTGTGCTTGATTTTCAGTACATGTCCATGGTACTATACCCTAATTGCTTGCTGCACTGTGTTCTCTATGAAGCACTTAGTGAAGTTAGTACCTGCAGTGTGCTCTGACTAATTATGTAATGTTTGTCATTACCATTTTGTGTGTGTGATTTATGTACTTAAAAATGTATGTGTAGTTTGCTATAGATGATCATTTGAATTATAAAAACTTAAATCCAAAATGTTCCTCAAAGCCAGGTGTGGCAAGTGCATGCTTGTAATCCTAGAACTTGAGAGACTGAGGAAGAAATGGCACACATGTAAAGCAGCAGCAGCCTATGAGCACAGCAAGGCTACCTCTAAAAATTTGAAATAAAGCCTTTTAGTTTCTTGTTTTCTAAAAGGAAATTTATGTGTTGTTGAATCTATAATATAGAGGCATTCTATCTTACAGCCCCTGTCTTACCCACTTCCCACCAGACAAAGTACTTTTTAGTATTTCGTATTTTTCATATTAAAGAACAGAAACTCTGTAAACTTGCTGTTATCTAATTAACAGATGGCCTCCTTAGCAGTGTCCAACTGGCCCAAGCCCATGCCGTTGATTCCATGCCTGTCTTGGTCCACAGCGTCTGGGGTCTTCACTACGGTAATTGGATTGTGGTTGATACTTGAAAACATGGACTTAAATATAGTGATATTAGAGGGTCACCCCTAGATTTAGTGACTACAAGAAGGAATAACAGAACACATACACTCTCTCTATTTTATACACACACACACACACACACACACACACACACACACACGTAGCCTAACTTTAGCAAAAAGATATGACAGAAAAATCAATAAAAGGAAAAAGCATATGAGGCAAACCTGATACAGGCTTCCAAGGGCCCTTGCTCAGTTGAATCTCATGGTTTATGCTTAATAAACCATGTAGTCACTTCTAACAGTGAAATGCTGCTCTTCACTGAGCCTGGCAGAGCTGAGAGTGAGTTAGATGCCCTGTCTCCAGTGTATCGTAAGTCAGAAGGAACTGCAGTGGTAAGCAGAGCACAGACGTGTACAAACAATATGACTCCAGTGGCTCACTCTTAGCATTTAGGGAAAGTTCCATATCAGTATAAAAGCTACTTATTGATCAAATTCCCAGACTCCACTCAAGGATATAAACAGGCCTTTCAAAAGGTGAATAATCTCAAGTCCAATTGCACTAACTCTTATACAGCAATTAATAATAATAATAATAATAATAAAGTACTGAGATAGCCATGTCATAATTTTTTTCTTTATTTCAGGGTGTATTGAGTAAATCAATTAATTGGCGGGAACTGGAAAAGCAGTATTATACACAGACAGTTTATGAAAAAGAAATTATTCATATGCTTGAATACTGTGGGGTAAGTTTTGATTTGGTCATTGGTTTTTTGAGATAGGTTCTGGAACTCAGTCTGTAGACCAAACTGATCTGAAACTCACAGAGATCTGCCTGCCTCTCCCTTCCAAGTGCTGAGATTAAAGGTAGGCCACCATACCCAGATGGAGTATTGTAATGTTCATGTAACATTGAAGTAAAAGTTGATTGTATATTTAGTTATATAAAGAAAATAACAATTTTTCTGTGTAGCAGCTTCCAGTGGTACTTAGCTTACTGAGCTTGAACTCCAAGTGTCCTATCAGTTCATTTTGGCAGGTATTTGGTCCTGTGTGCTGGGTTTTAAGGTAAAAACGGTGCTCTAACATGGTGCTAGCTGTACTGAGGTTTGGGAGCCTGTTAAACGCAACTGATATTAAAATTGGAATAGCTTTATCTCATTATTGGTGACATTGACCATATGCTTATAAGCCTAAAACCATGTATTTTATATTTCTGTAACATACACAAACGTTTGTGTGTGTGTGTGTGTGTGTGTGTGTGTGTGTATGCAGTATTTGTCTTCCTGAGTCTAGATAATTCTGCTAAATCATCTCCAGTTCCTTCTATTGTCTATAAATGTCATAACTATTTACAGATAAACAAAATTTAATATGCCACATTTTCTTTATGTATTCAGCTCATTTTTTTCTATTATACTTTTAAAAATTACTTCATTCTAGTTCTCAATAAAAGTGATTTGAGCACTTAAGAAACAGGTAAGCGCCTTTAATCCCAGCACTAAGGAGGCAGAGGCAGGTGGATTTCTCAGTTCAAGGTCAGCCTGGTCTACAGAGTGAGTTCCAGGACAGCCAGGGCTACACAGAGAAACCCTGTCTTGAAAAACAAAACAAAACAAACAAACAAACAAAAAAGTGATTTGAGCCAGGCATTACCGATAGTGTACATCTTTAATTCCAGCACTCAGGAGGCAGAAGCAGGTAGATCTATTTGATGCTATCCTGCTCGACATAGTAAGCTTTAGGCCAGCAAGGATGTGTCTCCAAAATAAGATTTTAAAATTGATTGGCTATTTGTCCTAAGTTACAAGGCAATCTTGCAAGGATGTCATTTGTTCTTTTGATCTTTCTTTATGTATATGTTATTTTCATTTAAATTATGTTCTTTTTATAAGTCAATATATTTCTAATCTACTTTTGGAACTTTCATAGGGAATATTTTTTCTTTTGTATTTTTTTAATTGTTAGTCTATCTCAAAGAAAGGATTTCAAGTAGTTATTTCTTATGCTTAAATGTACATTGTAGTACAGATATGCCCATAAAACTTTCAGAAAGTCTAGAATTAAAACAGATTATAGCTATGTTTTGAAATTTTTGGCAGTAAAACCTGATGCAGGTAACTTTGACTGTTTGTTTTTGCGTCTTTGAGACAGGGTTTCTCTGTGTACCCCTGGCTGTCCTGGAACTCTGTAGACCAGACTGGCCTCAGACTCAGATCTGCCTGCCTCCGCCTCCTCAGTGCTGAGGTTAAATTAAAGGAGTGCACGACCACTGCCTGGCAACTTTGACATTATTAGGAAACATTCAACAAAAATGTGCCATTTATCTTTATCCTCTTCAGATTTTGTCATCTGGTTTTCCTTTGACCCTGTAAGGATGATAGCAAGTTTACCTACATGAAATTTACCATTTAAAAAATGTCATTTTAATCATCTTGCTGGTCCAGTTTATTGACAGTGAGCACAGTCACAGTTGTGAGCCATCACCACCATTCATCTCAAAATCTTTTCATCTTCCCAAAGTAAAAGCCTACCCGATGAACAATAATCACCACTTCCACTTTCCTGCGTCCTCTTATCTGTCGCCAGTTTGTTTTCCATCTTTAAACGTGACTGTGGGAAACCTTTTATAATAAGCAGAATAAACATTTTCCCTTTATATATGGTTTATTCACATGTGCCTTAAAAGGGAAGGGACTTTAGAGCGAGAAGTGATGCCCTGCGCCTATGATCTCAGCACCTGGGAAGCTTAAGCAGGAGGATCAGGAATGGGAGGGAGCCTGTGTAGTAGGACCCTATGCCAGAACAAAAGAAAACAAAAAAATACTTCTGTTACTCTCTGTGTGTGGTGGCAGTGATGGTGGTGGTGGCCATGGTGGTTTTCGGTTACAAGTTCTCACTAGGTAGCCCAGGCTAGCCTAGTACACCCTGTTCTCCTGCCTCGGCCTAAATGCTGTAATCATAGGTGTGTGTCACCACCCCTAGCTGTTCATCAATTTCTAATACTAGGCTATTTTATTTGTGCTGTGCCATATTTTACTTACTGATACTTTTTATCTTTTCTGTTTTTAAAATGTTTCATAAAGTTCTAATATATATTAAATGGCTCTTCTTATCATCTATTCAGACAGATTCTTTCAAAATGGAACATGAGTTCATGAAACACTTCCCTAGCAATGCAGACAAACTGACTGACCTGAATCTGGTCTCCAGAACTTTAAATTTAGATACGACAGACCAAGTTGTATCCCCAAAGCATGCCGAGTGCCATAATTCTGGTAAAACATCTATCAGTGCTACTTCAAAAGGACAGCTGTTGCAAGATTCAGCTAAGATGGAATGCTTGAATCAAACACTCTCAACTAACAAAAGTTGGTTTGCAAGTTACAACCCTCAGTCATTTCACCTGCTCAGCAGAGAACAAAGAAGAAGCAATCTTCAAAAAGAATCTTTAATATTCATGAAAGGAGTCATGGATGAATGCACTCATGTAGCAAACTTCTCAGGTATTAATTGCTTAGGAAACTGGGAACATCTGGAGTGTGTAAATATTCGTTATATACACTTCATGTATGGATGGGTATTTTGCCTGCATACATGTCTATATATCACAAACATTCCTGGTGCCATGGGGCCAGAAGAGGGTGTCAGATCCCCTGAAACTGGAGTTACAAACGATTGTTAGCCACTATATGGGAGCTGGGAATTGAACGTGGGTCCTCAGGAATAGCAGCCAGTGTTCTCAACCATTTGAGCCATCTCTCCAGCAATCTTGTGTTTGTTTTCTTGTTTCTGTATGTATCTTTAGGATAGTCACTGTAGGGCTAGGGATATAGCTTGCACAGTGTCTGGGTTCAATCCCCAGTAGTGCATAAACTGGGAATGGTGGTAATGTCTGTAATCTTAGCACTAGCACACAGGAGGTAGAGGCTATCCTCTTGGCTACAAAGTGAATTTGAGGCCAGTCTAGATTATATGAAAATGTTTTAAAAAATTATTTTATTAGATGAATATTGTGGTACCATGGTATATTGTTTTTTCTTTTTGTATGTGTATGTTGATCTGTATGTACACCTACATGTGGAAGGCAGAAGTCAACACAAGTGTCTTCCGCAGTCACTCTCCACCCGAGTGGAGCTTAATAATTCCACTAGACGTCCTTGACCAGTGTCTATCTATACTTCCCCAGAGCTGAGAATATAAGGGACGCCCTATGCTCAGCTTTTTAACATGGGTTCTGGGGACCTAAATCCACTTGTCTATGCTTGTGTTACAAGCACTTCACTAAGCCATCACCCCAGGGTTGAGGCAGGGTCTAAGTTGTTCAGACTGATCTTGAACTTGTGGCCTCCGGAGTAGCTAGGATTACAGACTCAGGTATGGAGCATTTTCTTTGGGAATATGATTTTAGGTATTTATTCAAAAATCAAACAGCTTTTTAATGCATCAAAACCGTCTACTTAGTTCCAGTTGACCCAAGCCTCATTATAGTGGTTCAAGCCAAAGAGGATGCCTATATTCCACGAACAGGAGTTCGAAGCTTACAAGAAATTTGGCCTGGTTGTGAAATCCGGTATCTAGAAGGGGGCCATATCAGTGCTTATCTCTTTAAACAAGGACTCTTCAGGTAAGATGATTTGTCTAACTAGATATTTGTTTGTTGCTTGATTGGGGGATATTTTTTGCCTTAAGAAATATGTGGCTTGCCGGGTGGTGGTGGCACACGCCTTTAATTCCAGCACTTGGGAGGCAGAGGCAGGCGGATTTCTGAGTTCGAGAGTTCTAGGCTAGCCTAGTCTACAGAGTGAGTTCCAGGACAGCCAGGGCTGCACAGAGAAACCCTGTCTCAAAAAACAAAAAAAAAATTAAAAAAAAAATTAAAAAAAGAATTTAAAAAAAAAAGAAATACAATACTTAATCTTTCCTTCCCCATATTTTTTAATGACTGATTCTTTACATTTCATTTTAGACAAGCCATCTACGATGCCTTTGAACGTTTCCTTCATAAATATGCTAACTAATTGGATCAAAGTATTGTAAAACATCCTATTTCCTGCTAAAAAGAGTTCACCCTGTGATGATGTGAAAAACAAGCAGACAGCACTACATGCCTGATTGTTGCCAAATTAGTCTGTTTTGCCAGTGTTACGGGTCAGTTACCAACTGTAGATACATTTTAGTAATGTAAAAACAGTACTTGAATCATATAATCCTGAAGTATTTGTAAATCTTTTAAAAATCTCATATACCTTATATAACATCTACTATTTATGAACATTTTAATTGTGAATAATTTATTGATTCAGAATAAATAGAAACAATTGGTTTTTAATAGAATTGTTGAAACTAAGATTGTAACATCACATGTACTGTATACTGTTCTATGGCAGTTTTGCTATTAACTTGATTTTAAAACCCGTGTCTATCCTTTTTGTCTGTGTAGTGGGTTTATAATCTGGTTTTCAAGTTTAGGTGATTTATTGCCATAGAAATACCTAAGATATGAAATCAGTGTTAGCATTGAATTATGAAAATGCCCTGAGTGCTGGGCTGCATGCACCCATGTGGTAGTGCGCTTGTAATCCCAGCACGTGAGACGTAGAGACAGTAGTCCAGTCAGTTTTTTTCATAGCAAATTTGAGACCAGCCTGAGCTACATAAGACTCTGTCTCAACAAATATGCCTGGCATGGTAGTTCATGCCGTTAATCCTAGCAGGTAGGAGACAAAGGCAAGCATATCTCTTGAAGAGCCAGGGCTAGGACCATGATTGCCCAGCCTTGGTAGACTCTGAGGCCAGTCCCCAGCACTGCCAAATGAAAAGAAAAGCTGGAGGTGTTTGGGAAATGGGGGTTGTACATGTTTTCTCTACTTAAGGGAGTTTTATGTTGAAAAATGGAAATAATAAAAGAACTTTGTACTAGATAGTGGGTTCTGTCAGATATTTCTTATACACCTATTCTTCAGTTGCTTGCAGGCAGAGTTAACAGCTTTGACCTCTTAATTTCAGGATTTAAAAGATACATATGAAATTAAACCATTGTACAGAAAAACATGAGGTTTTTGCACACTGCTAACTTTTTAAATAGAACTTATATGGATAGATATTTGGTGCTAATGTTAAACTGCTCTGAGCTAAAATGTTTAAAAGGTAAATGTGTTTACTTTGAAATCTATATTGTCCTTAAATTTAAATTAGGTCTTGCTGGTCTAGTGAGGATATGTGGATTGTAACATGCCTTGTGCAGTTTCTAAAAAGATGCTGTGGCACTCTAATGTCTCTGTCACTAAAGTTTCTAACAGCTATTTAAACATCTTTACTGTGAAGTCACTGATAGCAGAGTAGTAGCTTCTTGAACATTACTTTTTTTTAAGGTTTATTTATTTTATGTATGTGAGTACACTGTCGCTGTCTTCAGACACATCAGAAGAGGACATCTGATCCCATTACAGATGGTTATGAGCCACCATGTGGGTGCTGGGAATTGAACCCTGGACCTCTGGAAGAGGGTCAGTGCTCTTGCCCACTGAGCCATCTCTCCAGCCCCTTGGACACTACTTTCAAGTAACATTTCAGTAGAGATATTAGAGCTACAGCAATTTTGTATTTTCAGACTTGAACTTTTACTTTTGAATAAAAGTACAAAATGTTCCTTAAGAGTAAAACGTGGCCGGGTGGTGGCACACGCCTTTAATCCCAGCACTTGGGAGGCAGAGGCAGGTGGATTTCTGAGTTCGAGGCTACCCTGGTCTACAGAGTGAGTTCCAGGACAGCCAGGACTACACAGAGAAACCCTGTCTCGAAAAACCAAAAAAAAAAAAAAAAAGAGTAAAACACGGTGGTGGTGGTACATGCCTTTAATCTCAGCAAAAGCAGGCACTCTCTGAGTTGGAGGCCAGCCTTGTCTACAGAGTGGGTTCCAGGACAGCCAGTGCTACACAGAGAAACCCTGTCTTTTCCAGGACAGCCAGTGCTACACAGAGAAACCCTGTCTTCAAAACAAAACCACAAAACAAACAAACAAACAAACTGGGTGTAGAGCTAGGAGTGGTGGCAAACCTCCCATCCTTTAATCCTAGCACTGGGAGGCAGAGTTCAGGGCCAACCTAGTCTACAAAGTAGTTTCAGGATAACTAGGGCTTACACTGGGTGTTACTGGCAGTACATGCCTGAAATTCCTGCATTTGGGAAGCAGAGGATCAATCAACCACAAGGTTCAGGCCAAGTTAACCTATATCGAATATTCCAGACCAATCAAGACTACCTGTCACATGTAAGTTTATTTTCTTCTTTTAAGTGGCTGTTTCAAGACAGCATTCACAAAACTGCCTAAACTCATTAATTCAGAGAAGAAAATGCCCTTTCTCACATTTCTTCAAACACACTCTGCAAAATAGTAGCTTAAGTACTATAAATTCTCAGCCCCTTGGGACAAATGGCTGAAATGCCTATCTAACATATCAAATCAAACCTAGCCACCACATTCTCCCACTATCCCTCAGCTCCTACCTGGTTTCTACACTCTGCCTCCTATATTGAACTCTCCAGCCCCTACCCTGAACTTTGCCATCCCCAACATACTGACACACACACACACACACACACACACTCACTCACTCACACACACATGGTACATATTCTTTGAGAAATTAATATATTCTCAAAGAAGTCCTGCCTGCCATTTTCCTGCCACTTGTGGATTGGGTCTATAAAATACTACAGATTCATTCAGAGCAGAGCTGCAGGGAGCTAACTAACAATAGGCCAGTCTGACCCAATTTTATTTGGTGTACATAAGGGTGGGCATTCTTATGTGTAACTACTACCCTAATTTCTGACTCAGCCCTAAAGACCCTGAAGATGTAGTTCTTTAGTTAGACTTCATGATTTACCAATGTTGTAATTAGATCATCTTATCAATGTATTTTTAATTTGGTGCTTTCTCCATTATAATATTGACAATATAACAATTTTGAAAATATTTGCCAAATTTTATATTTCCTAATAAAAATCTATTTTAGAAATTATTTGCTCTGTGTTTTTTTTCTTTGTAAAGAGGTATCATTCCAACTACCAGAAGCATGTTCCATTTGATTCCTGTGTCCAAACTTGAGCTAATTTTGTTTGCTCTACGATATTGTACCCATATGGTAAGGCAGAAATAAGTAAAGAAGGCTCTAACACAATATCAGTCTCTCTTCAGAGCCAGCTTTGCACCATGCGATGCAAGGAGAACAAGCATTCTGACACATGATTCTCAGTGTTTAACTCGGATGTGATTACATTAGAGATAGTAAACATATTGCAAACAAAACTCCAAGGCGTCGGTTAACCAAGGATTCCCTTTGGCTAGGAGGAATGAGATCCTGGGGAAAGGCTGCCAAGGACTGGAAAGTGGATATGGTTGCTCAGGTCTGTAATCCCAACACTGGAGAGGTTGAGGCAGGAAGACCTAAAGTTCAAAGTCAGCTGGGCTGACTCCACATCTGTACCATTGGTGTGTGTGTATGCATCTCCATGCACGTATATGCCTTTATCCCAGAAGGCAGAGGCAGGTGGGTCTCTGAGTTGTATGCCAGCCTGGTGTACAGAGTGAACTCAGGAGAGTTAGGACTACACAGAGAAACTGTCTCAAAAAATCATTAATGATTCTGTTTTGAGAGAAGGTATGTTTCACTATGTAGCCCTGTCCAATCTGAAACTATGTAAACCAGGCTGGTCTTGAACTCATAGATCTACCTGCCTCTGCCTCTGTCTTTGCCTCTCTGCTTCTGCCTCCACAGCTTTGGAACTAAATGGGTATACACCATGCTGAACTGAGAGTCGGGTTTTTTCCTAAAGGAGATAATTTATTTAATTGGTGTTCAAAATTTTGTTCTCTATCATCAAAATCTTTTGGAAATATTCATGTGTCAAGGCTGTTCCACCAGGAACATAATTTTGCTCTGACAACGTCTGCATAGATAGCTAGTACCTGGTAATCTGATAATAGTCCCTAGGTAAATTATTTCATTTTACTATGTAGCTCTGCCTGGCCTGGAACTTGCTATATAGATAGACCAGGTTGGCCTCTACTCACAGAGATCTTCCTGATATTGGACCCTTTGTAGTATGTTTATAAAATTCCACTTGATTGCTCTCCATACTTGTCATGATAACATAAAGTGATGACAGCACCACACATGGTTTTCTTGTGACTACTGAATTAGTACATAATAATGCAGTCATAGAAAACAGAAGTGAGCTGAGCAGTGGTGGTGCAGCCTTTACTCCCAGCACTTGGAAGGCAGAGGCAGGCAGATTTCTGAGTTCGAGGCCAGCCTGGCCTATGGAGTGAGTTCCAGGCCAGGGCTACACAGAGAAACCCTGTATCGAAAAACCCAAACAAACAAAAAAAGAAGAAGAAAAAGAAAAAAAAGAAAGAAAGAAAAGAAAACAGAAGTGAATAAACATGGCTGTGTTCCAGCAGTGTTTTACTTAAGGGACTGAGAGCTGGAGAGATGTCTGAAAGGTTAAAAACACTATGCTGTTCTTCCAGAGAACCCAGGTTCAATTCTCTGCACTCATATGCATGGTGGATAGCCTTGGCCTTGTATTTTGATGTTAATTCCCCTTTCCTGGGAAGGGCCGCAGAGGAGGAGTGAATCATCACACAGGTGAATTCTAGTGAACCTTCTGCCCTTCTTAATTTGTAAAATAAAGGCTGGAGCCAGTGATTGGGCAGAGAAGGGGAGGTGGAGAAATTCAGGTTGGTGGGAAGAGAGCAGAGAGGGAGAGGAGAGAAAACAGAGGAGGACAACGGGGAAGCAGGAGGTAGAAGGACAGACACAGGATCTGGAAAACCCTCAGGTTATAAGGATCTCATAGCTGGGGAATAGAGTAGTGAAGTGGTGAATCTGCCCAATCTAGGCTTGCAGAATATATTCATAATTATTGAGTTGTGTTTTCTTTGACCAGTCTTATTTGGGTCGGGTACTTACCGCAACACATATGGAGTTCACAACTGTCTCCATTTCCTGGGTATCCGGCATCCTCACAGATACATATTCACAGAAAACACCAATTAATGCACATAAAATAAGAAAATTTTAAATTTTTTTTTTTAAAGAGGAACTGAAATTTGAACTTCAAATGATTTTTCACATGTCATAAAATATACCTCTTTACCTTTAGAGTGCTTTTCTAGCATGTTCAAGGCCTGGGTTCAATACCCACCAAAGGAGTGGAGGTATGCTGTAGGTTGTGGACAGGATTTGGACAGGGTCTTGTTATGCCAGT